CTCAGTTTGGGCAAGTGCAGGACAAGAAGGGTGCCACTGACAGCCAGTCTATCGAGGTCACTTTGGTGAACTGTGATTTAATTAACTGCTCTTTAAAATGGACAGGCTGAGGATTAGGACTTGTCAAAATCCGATTCATAGCCCATGTTTCAGGGCCACGTATAAATCTGTTCTTTTAAGAATGCACATTTTGTACCTAAATTGAAATATTCAGACACCCACGGAAGGTTTTGATCCTGCTGGCCATTAAAATTACAACGGAGATTGAAGAAGTCTTTTTGTGTAGAACAAATTTTATATGTCCATATAGAATTAGTAAGAAAATCTCTGAGAAGAGGCAGCAGGGAAGCATACAAAATGTACCTATTTGTCTTTATTTTAAAATTATGTTTCTTTGCTGTGAATTAAAAATATAATCTGACTAAAGAAAAACCAGATTTCAAACTAGACAGAAGAGTCCTCTTTACTTCCAAATGGCTTCCCTACACCCTACCCTCTATACTCCCTCCCCCCCCCACACACACACACACTTGGCTCTTCTCTTCCCTCCAGGGGTCTCCCTCCAGCTGGAACTTGTTCTGTCCCCTCCGTGGGCCCCATGGCCTGTCGTGTCCCACATCCTATACCATCAGAAGCAGCAGTCAAATGGGCGGTAGCTGTATCAGAGGCACTCAGTTGGTAACTGTTCCTCATCTGGACTCCTGTCTGCATCTCCAGACTGTATTTCACCCCAGAGTACACTTAATTCAGATTGTACCAGCAAGCTGTATTTCTCAGGGGGGGAGAAAAAGTAATAATCAAATTACATTTTCAAGAAAAATGCTACCATCCAAAAAAATGAAACACTCAAAGCTTTCTTCTAAAATCAAATCTCTTGGACTTCTTGAAGCTCATGGCTGCCATAAGAGTTATTCATTTTTTTATACCACATACCATAGTCCACAAGTTAGCCAAAGACATGGCCAGAGTTTCCCGGTGTAGAGGCCAGGTGGCAGTAACAGCTGACAGATAGTAGCATCGGCCATTCTTGTTTATGTCTTTATCCATATAACGAATCCTGGGTAAACTGAGGCGGAGGGTCCAGGCAAGCTGGGTGAGTCCAGTTAACTCTCTCAGTTAACTTCAAGGTTAATTTGCAATTCCTTTAAACCCGAGTGGTTGTACATGTCTCTTTGTCAAATGTAAGTCCAAAGCGTTGCTGCGACTAATTTCTGTCATACAAATTTCCCCTTTGCTAGGCTTTCTGTAGGATACCTTCCTTTCCAGGCAGTTCAGAATATCACTCTATGTGGCAATATAGTGTCACTTAGTAAGCAAGAATGTAAATATATTCTAAAATATGTATTATTTATGTATCAGTTTAAGAAATTGCAAAATTTTGTCCCATAAATATTTTAGGGAGACTTGCTGAAGTAAAAGAATAAAGAGAAAAAGGACCTGATTTGATGTCCTGGGGCACATTCTTATTTGGAAGCCTTATAGACAGCACTGAAGCTGAGGGATTAAATAGAATAATTTCTATTTAATAGTCAAGTCTCTAAATCCAAAAGTGAAGTTACAATACGACCAGCTGAATTTGGTATTAGCAACTTGCAATGGGCTCTTCAAGGATACTGTGATAATATTTACATATAAAATCATTACATCTCATTTTTATTTGTGTATCAGTGTGCCAGGACATCAGTATATAAGTATACAAGACAAGGAATGCTATTTTTCCCAGTTAATTTTAAATTCCTAGGAACTTAAAAAAAAAAACAAAACAAAACAAAGAATGAACGTATCTGAGAAGTTTTGAGTTTATATTTAGTATAAATATTTAATATAAATGAGTTCTTCCTCTATTTTTATCAATTCCACACACATCTGTATGTTCCAATAAATTAAAGGATATGGTTTATTTCATGGGAGGAATTAATTTGAGTTTGTACTATTTGCGTATATACTAAAACTGTTTTATGTAAACTGCAGGAGCACCCACTTAAAAGGAAAAAATATCCACGTGTGAATTCTAACATAATAGGATAAGAAATTATGCTTGTAGAAGTAAGGCTTTAATTGGGAGTTGCATCCCAGTGTGCAGGAATATTAGCTTGGCCATAGAGAATTTTTACTGGCTTTTTCCTAAACACTCTTAGCACTTTGATAAATATATATTTCATTCATTGCACAAAGTTTGGTTGAAGTATTGCACAAAGAATAAATACTTTTGTTAGAACGTGTTAAAAGCTTGGCTTTTTAAATGCTTGACCTTTAGAGGACTGGGTCACCCAAGGCAAACTCCCTGTCTTTTGCAAAGGTATGAAGTTGGAAATGAGCTTGGAAATCAGACTCCTGGGACCACGATTTGCATCTGATAGTTTAGCTTTATCTGTGCTTTTGGATTTATTAAGAATGCTTTAACTGCTTTATTAGAACATTGTCCCTTTTTCTCTTTCATTTGGGACGTTCGTACATTCTCTACTGGTTATTATATCTTGGGAACAAAATTACTTTGGATGGGAAAACACCTCTGAATTTTACATGCGCGTAAATAATAGATAATACTTAATTTGTTATACATTTAAAAATGTTTATATTTAAACTTTTCCCACAACTTTTCATGTACAAATGAATTCTCTGATTAGACTCCCTGATCACCTTAGCAAATACTAATTGAATGAATATGTGAACATACAAGAAAGAGATATGAGGCAAAGACTAAAAAGGAGATAGGGGTCTAAACACACTGCATGCCCACATATCCGCTATCAGAGTTTTACAGAAAATAAAATTCTGTGCATTTGCCTCACTGCTGTTTACAGCGGCCACATAGCAGCAGCGCCTGAGTATAAAAATTTTCAGCATGGAGGGTGGGGAGCGTTGAAGATGACGATTGCATCAAAAGATCACAATATATCAAAATGAGAAATTGAAGAAAATTCCTATTTTCAAAGAGTAAAAAACTGAAACTCGTTATGTTCCCTCCCAGCAGGATGTCTAAAGCATGCTTGTCTTTTTCTTTAACAGATAATTCTGAAATAATCAGCAGAAACGGAATGGAATGCCAAGAATCCGCATTGAGAATAACTAAACATTGTTACTGTACATACTATCCTGTTTCCTCCTCAATAGAATTGCCACAAACTGCATGCTAAATAAAGATTTAGTTCTTCTGGACAGACCACAACTGTAAGAAGCTAGTGCTGCTATATCATATATGAGTATTAAATATGGTATGCTTAGTATATTCCAACCTAAGATAGTTAACTACCTGAGACCAGCTGTGACGTTTAAAGACATAAAGAATAAAGTTTACTTTTCAAGGGTTTCTAAACATAGTTTCTGTCCTAGGAATATTGTCTTATCTCCATAACTATAGCTGATGCAGAAAGTCCAACCAATGTACTCATTTCGATTGAGAATACTTCCAAGTTAGCAATAAGCGATTAGCATTAGTTAAAAAAAAAAAAAAAAAATCTATTCCGAGGGCAGGTTCTAACGCCAATTACTGTCATTTCATTTACCCGCTGGATCAAAGAGTATGTTTCGCTTCTTCACAACATGAATGCTGCAGCAAAGGTGGGAAGTGAAGTAAAACGGACGCCTGTCCCGCAGGTCTAAAATTTGAATGGAAGTTCAAGCACAAGTACGGGGGACACATCAAAGTGTGGTTGTTTGGTTTGCCTGGAGATGCCGCATTGAATCATGTGATTCTAGAATAACATTAACTAGATTGAAAAAAGAAACTTTGCACGGTATGAGCTTCATACCCCACCAAACAAAGTCTTGAAGGTATTATTTTACAAGTATATTTTTAAAGTTGTTTTATAAGAGAGACTTTGTAGAAGTGCCTAGATTTTGCCAGACTTCATCCAGCTTGACCAGAATGAGAGGCCCATGCCAACAGTCTAATCGGAGGGATTAGTTTTTCAAACTCACCATCCAGTTGCCTGTTACAGAATAACTTCTAAACTAAACACCTAGTCAAACAACGAAGCTGTAGGTGAGGAGATCTGTATAATATTCTAATTTAAGTAAGTTTGAGTTTAGTCACTGAAAATTTGACTGTGACTTTAATCTAAATTACTATGTAAACAAAAAGTAGATAGCTTCACTTTTTAAAAAATCCATTACTGTTTTGCATTTCAAAAGTTGGATTAAAGGGTTGTAACTGACTACAGCATGGAAAAAAAATAGTTCTTTTAATTCTTTCACCTTAAAGCATATTTTATGTCTCAAAAGTATAAAAAACTTTAATACAAGTACATACATATTATATATACACATACATATATATACTATATATGGATGAAACATATTTTAATGTTGTTTACTTTTTTAAATACTTGGTTGATCTTCAAGGTAATAGCGATACAATTAAATTTTGTTCAGAAAGTTTGTTTTAAAGTTTATTTTAAGCACTATCGTACCAAATATTTCATATTTCACATTTTATATGTTGCACATAGCCTATACAGTACCTACATAGTTTTTAAATTATTGTTTAAAAAACAAAACAGCTGTTATAAATGAATATTATGTGTAATTGTTTAAAACATCCATTTTCTTTGTGAACATATTAGTGATTGAAGTATTTTGACTTTTGAGATTGAATGTAAAATATTTTAAATTTTGGCATCACTGCCTGTTCTGAGAACTGGATGCACCAACCATATCATTTTCGTTTGAGCAAAAAGAAATCCGCCATTTTACTTAACGTTGGTCAAAGTCTAATGACTCTCTTTCTATTGTAGATTTGATAACCCCATCAAAAGAAAATCACGTTCTAAGTGTAATCTTACATAGTGCTTGTATCGTTGCATTTGTTTTAATTTGTGGGAAAGTATCGTATCTAACTTGTATTTCTTTGGTAGTTTCATCTTTATGTATTATCGATATTTGTAATTTTCTCAACTATAACAATGTAGTTATGCTACAACTTGCCTGAAACATTCAAACTTGTTTCATTTTTCATTTCTTTTTTTTTCTTTGTTATTTCACTTAAACTCATTGAAAACATAGTATGCGTTACTAAAAGGTCAATTACAGGAATCACTGAAATATTTTTGTAGACTAATTGTTGTAACATTGTCTTTCTTTCTTTTGTTTCATGATTTTGATTTTTAAAATTATTAGCACACAGCTATTTTCAGCCCTTTAATAATGCAGCATCAAAAACATCACCTGTATCCCCAAATGAATATAGAAGACTGTATTTTTACTATGATATCCATTTTCCAGAATTGTGATTATAATATGCAAAGAGTCATAAATATGCCATTTACAATAAGGAGGAGGCAAGGCAAATGCATAGATGTACAAATATATGTACAACAGATTTTGCTTTTTATTTATTTATAATGTAATTTTATAGAATAATTCCGGGATTTGAGAGGATCTAAAACTATTTTTCTGTATAAATATTATTTGCCAAAAGTTTGTTTATATTCAGAAGTCTGACTATGATGAATACATCTTAAATGCTTTGTTTAATTACAAAAATAAAATCACCAATGTCCAAGACACGAAGATAGCAACTCAACAAATACTGTAGTTAAGAGACGAACTCACCACTTGTATGGGAACTACATTTCACTCTTGGTTTTCAGGATATAACAGCACTTCACCGAAATATTCTTTCAGCCATACCACTGGTAACATTTCTACTAAATCTTTCTGTACCACTTAAAGAATTCCCTCATTCATTACCTTACAGTGTAAACAGGAGTCTAATTTGTATCAACTCTATGTTTTGGTTGTAATATTCAGTTCACTCACCCAATGTACAACCAATGAAATAAAAGAAGCATTTAAAAGCATTTCTAGTCTTGCTCCTTTTTGTGTGGAGACAGACTGGTAATTAGCCAAACAAAACAGTCTCCACAATCGCACAGAAAACATTTGGGGACTTCAAAGAAGAGCAATCTCTGGTCTTCAGATGGGAGACTGACAGGTTTTGCTTTTAACTTTGGTTTTTTAACCATAAGGAAAGCAATTTAAAGGGATCACTTTGGAAGTTCCTTTAGTATTCCTTGAAACTAAAATAAACAGTAAATTCCCAGCAGTGCTATTTATTGTTTATTTTACCCAAGGGATACAGGAGTGCTGATGCGTACAGGCACCTGTACCCCAATGTTTAGAGCAGCACTTTCAACAATAGCCAAATTTAGGGGAAGTGCTCCTCCTAACAGGTGCCCCTCCTCAATGCCCATCATCCTCCCCACTCTCCCACCCCCATCAGCTCCTCAGTTTGTTCTCAGTTTTTAAGAGTCTCTCATGGTTTGGGCTCCTCCCTCTCTAACTTTTTTCCCCCTTCCTCCCCCCCATGGTCTTCTGTTAAGTTTCTCAGATCCATAAGAGTGAAAAACATATGGTATCTGTCTTTCTCTGTATGACTTATTTCACTTAGCATAACACTCCCTCCAGTTCCATCCACATTGCTACAAAAGGCCAGGATTTTAATTCTTTCTCATTGGTAAGTAGTATTCCATTGTGTATATAAAACCACAACTTCTTTATCCATTCTGTCAGTTCATGGACAGTTAGGCTCTTTCCATAATTTGGCTATTGTTGAGTGCTGCTCTAACATTGGGGTACAGGTGCTCAGACAAGATTGTAGCACTCCTATCCTTTGGGTAAAATAAATAAATATACACTGCTGGGAATTTACTGTTTATTTTAGTTTCAAGGAATACCAAAGGAACTTCCAAAGTGATCCCTTTAAATTGCTTTTCCTTATGGTTAAAAAAAAAAAACCAAAGTTAAAAGCAAAACTGTCAGTCTCCCATCTGAAGACCAGAGATTGTTCTCTTCTTGAAGTCCCCAAATGTTTCTTAAAGACAGGAGACTGTTTTGTTTGGCCACTACCAGTCTGTCTCCACACAAAAGGAAGGCATTGTATTTTAATGTTTTATTTCATTATTACATTGGGTGAGTGAACTGAATATTAACCAAAACATAGAGTTGATTACAAATTAGACTCCTGTTTACACTGCAAGGTAATGAATGAGGGAATTCTTTTTAAGTGGTACAGAAAGATTTAGAGGGCCTCTGACGGGAACCTCTGACAAAGTCAGAT